CAAAGAGGTTGCTGCCTGCCTTACCTCACTCGGGTGGCTCCTTACATCACGGGCCCATTTTCCGGGTGAGCAGTTGAGGCTCGGCCTCATCTGAGGTCATTCATCCACGAAGGGGCAGAGCCTGACAGACCAGCCACCTGGAGAGGGTCACTCTAAACACATAGTGATGAGCGACGGAGAGGGTGGGTCTCACTGATGTGGGTGACGAGAGGCCACACTGAAATTAGCTCCTCAACAAGGTTTACATTCTGGGCAATTGGAGTGACTTTCACTTTAGATGCCTGTGCAGTGCGCAACCTGAGCTGGCATTCGTGGTGCGCGTGGCATGTAGGAGCCAGCCGTGCACACGGAAGGAGGCACTGGCTCACTGGGTAGAGGTGCAGGAGAAGCAGGCCCTGAGGGGCTCCTGGGGCAGCTGGGAGCTGGGCAGTAAAGGCTTCTCCTTGGTCGTAGGTGCTGCTGGTCCCACCACTGCTGCCTGCAACAGGTGGGGAGGCTGGGCTGCCGGCGCGGGAGGCTTCCTCGGCCGCCGGTGATGTGCGTGGACGGCACCCCGAAGTGTGAGTGCGTGGGCCTCCTGGTGGGTTATCCTCTCACCCGCTCGGCATCATGACCACACCAGGCGTAGACACTCTCGCATCACTTTACAGTTCATCCATCGCGTGACCCAACACGTCTTCCTCTGAGGTGCGTATTAGACCCCTAGTCCTCTGAGGATACTCCAGTTCAGAGGTGACGTCTGTGCCCAGAGCACAGGGCTGGCCAGGTGCACACCGGGCCGTTACACAAGCCGTGCGCATTGCGTGCTCACCGTGTGCCGTCTGCTCCAAGCTCCTGCTGTGTGAGCGAGTTCATCCTCACAGCCGTCCAGGCCAGAGCACCAGGAGGCGCCCCAGGTCGCAGAGTCCGTGCTGAGCTGGATCGGAACCTAAGACCCCACGGCCTCTGACCTCGAGCCGAGGCCTCACCAGGCCCGTGGGCCCCTTTCCCTAAGAAGCAGAACCTTTTCCCGGGTGACATCTTCCGAGGGACCCCGTCAGGATGGTGGCCCTGGCTGAAGGGCCAGGTAGGCTGCAGCTCCACTCCTCTCTCCTGGAGGCTCCTCTGGGCTGCTCAGGGCCTCAGGCAGGATGGCTGGAAACTGCCACCGCCCCCCCCGCATCACTCTTACAGCAGAGTGAGGGTTAGCACTGGCCTGTTGACTCTGGCTCCATTTCCTCATCTGCATTTTCCTGGGGAAGCCTCTGGGGGCCATTAGTCCCCCCCGCCCCCTTCCTCTACATGCACCTCCTTGTAGGATCATGCGTGCCTCCCACTTGCCCGGAGCGCCATCCCTTCAATTTTCTATTTACCCAACAAACCTTCATTGGTAACTAGGAAACAGTGAGCATGCAGGATCCCTGCCTCAAGTCCCTCAGAGCCTAGAGGGAAGAGAGACAAGTCAGTGATTCCCCTAACCTCATGCCATACTGCTAACAGGAGGTGGAGCCTGCAGAGTCTGGCAGTGAGGACGGGAGAAGTTAGGAGAGCAGTGAGGTGAGATCTCAGGTTCCTGAAGGCCATGCTGGTGTGGATGTTCCAAGGAAAGGGAAAGGAAAACCGAGGCATTTTGGGGACTCCTGGCAGCACAGGGTCAGCATATGGTTCTGTTTGGCCAGCAGAGAGAGTGGGGGTGGGGAGACTGCTGAGGGGGAAGGTGAGGCTGGGAGATAGACAGGTACCAGATCAGAGTACCATTGTCGTGATATGCAACCACGCCATGAGGTCTCGCGTGCCCAGCTTTAGGCTCGCAGAATCCAGGGACACTATGTGCAGCTTGAACTCCCACAGAGCTTTAGGATCCGGTCCCAACCTGTGAGCTCGGAGCTCAGTGTCCCATACCTGATGCAGGTGGCAGGCGCTGGGAGGGCACCCTAGAGCCTGCCGTGTCGTCCTGACACGGGGATGGGGCGGAAGGGCCGAGGGCTCCAGGAAGCAGGCTCGTGTGCGTCCACTCTGCTCCTCTTCTCCACCTGCTGCTGAAATGACACGTGTGCCTGGGCTGCTGGGAAGGCCTGTGTCTGAGACTTGGCGGGTTGGTGTGACGAGAGTATTTCCAGTGGCGGCATCAGTGCGCGCTGGATGCCCAGAGGTTCAAGAGGGGGCGGAGGCCACCGGGGGGGCTCCATCTCCGTGGTCCCATGGCCCAGGGGCTACTCTGTTCTCGCCCTCAAAGGTGTGGGCCAGAGCCCGTGCGAGAAGCTGCTCTGTGCCTGTGAGCAGACGGCGGCCGAGTGCATGGCGTCGGCCTTCTTTAACCAGAGCCTCAAGTCATCAGGCAGACAAGAGTGCCAGGGCCCCCGGCGCCCCTGCGAGGACGGCGGGCAAGGAGGGCTTTCGGCGTCCTCCCTGGGCTCCAGCTCCGAGGAGAACAGCGCGGAGGCCCTGCCCCCCACCGCACACCTGAGAACCAGGAGGTTTCTGGGGAGGTCACTTGGTCCCGTGGGGGCCAGGCCGCAACCTGGCCCCAGATAGAGCCCCGGAGAAAATGCCAGGCACCCCTGCTCCCAGGCGCCTTGGGGCCTGAGCCGCCTCTAGGTCCTCCTCTGAGCAGAGGCTGGGGACACCATCTGCAGGAGGCAGCGCAGGTGTGGCTCCACTTCCTGCAGCACACGACGGAGGTGCAATAAATATCCAATCAGTGCTTTTACTCCCCTTGGTTTTGTGTGTTTTAAAGAAATGTAGGTACTGGTGCATGAATAGATTGCAAAGGTGAGAGGATAGAGACAATTGGGGGCAAGCGGGAGTCTACTCCCTAATCTTTGGAAGCTAATTTTCTTCTATTAAAAAAGAATAGAAGGGAGTGTACGTAGTCAGCCAGTCTTATGAGGTCACCTAGGAGTCAGCAATAACTCACCAAAGATGTACGCCAAGGGCTGAGATGACAGCACTTTTGGTCTGTGCCCTAAAAACACTTGCCATCCTAGTTACTAGGAGAGGGGGCATGTGTCTCCCCCGTCCCCACGATGAAGAATCACCACTCACCCCGTCTTGGTCCTGGGCTTGTTTTCACAAATGAGGGTTTATCCCGGTGGCTGGAAGGCCAGGAATGAAGCAACACTCTTGACACACGCAGATTCTGTAAAAAACCGAACTAGACCCACCCACCTGCTAGCTGAGATTTATTCTCTACCAGACTAAAGGCATCCCATCTTTAACCCTCTGCGGCCCAGTTTTATTTTTGGAATTCAAACAGTCGGGTCCAAATTAACTGACGGGATTGAATGTTGAACCGGTTTGCGGTGTCGACCTCAGCCTCGATGTTGGACCTGCTCCTAGCACCTGGTCTGTCCAGTCAGCCTCGGTGTTGGACCGAAAAGGGTTAAAAATCCCTTCATCAACCCATTAAGCAAGACAGGGGCGGGGGGGGATAATTGAAATGATAACTGCATGCTTCTCCGTTTAGTCCTGTCCTTAAGTATCAGATGAAGTGGTGCCACACTGGACGTCTTTTGCCAGCTCCACGCCGTCTGGTCCCACCTCTTGCTCCAGACCAGTGATGGCGAACCTATGACACGCGTGTCAGCAGTGACATGCGAACTCATTTTTTTTGGTTGATTTTTCTTTGTTAAATAGCATTTAAATATATAAAATAAATATCAAGAATATACGTCTTTGTTTTACTATGGTTGCAAATGTCAAAAAATTTCTCTATGTGACACGGCACCAGAGTTAAGTGAGGGTTTTTCAAAATGCTGACACGCCGAGCTCAGAAGGTTCGCCATCACTGCTCCAGACACTGCTGTGACACCCAGTTCCCGAGGCTCTGACCGGCCACACTGGGCGGTGGGGTCTGACAAGGCCCGCCACACCTCCTACCTTCTCTGATGAGGCACTGCTCCGCATCAGGCACACGCAATCCAGAAACGTGGGGGAGTTCACGCCAACAGGGCCTTGACCATGAGTAGAAGCCAAAGGCTACACGCTGCCCTGCCTGCCATCGCCTGGTGGACGGGCCTGAGCTCTCCTCCTGAGACGACTTACTGTCGCGGAGGCTGGATCTGCCCTCCCCCGGTGATGGCCAAGTCATCGGCGAATCCTCCTCACCAGCCTTTCTCCATTTCAGAGGTTCCCTGGGATCTCGCCCAGAGAAAGCCCTGCCCAGAGCCTGCCTTCGGCTCTGCTGGAGGAGAACCCAGACTAGGACAGGGCCCTACAGGCCGCCTCTGATTCAAAGTGCAAGTCACAGGCAAACAAAACGGAGAGGTCGACTGGTGCTCGTTCCCCCGCTTTTTCATTCGTGTGAACTGGTACTTGAGGTTAGTAATTCACCAGATGACAGACTAGTAACAGGATCCAACAAGCTAAAGCTGGAAAGAAAGCCCATGAGATAGCACACCACCCCGACTGCTCACCTCACACCTAGAGAACAGGGTCCGAGCGTGGGGGGACTGGCCTGAGTCCACAGGACGGAGGCAGCTGCCAGGGGCTCAGGCCACTCTGCCAACTGGAGGAGGAACAGTAATGAACATACACATGCCCTGAGGGTGGGATTTACTCCCCATCATGTTCCAGATGAGGACTTCAAAGCCCCAAGGGCAGTCCCTTGCCTACAGCCCTTAGACAGGCAGTGGCAGGGGTGGGTTCCAGCCCAGGGCCCTGGGGCCCTGCTTTGCTGCAGCCTAAAGGAAGTCCCTGAGGCCAGCAGGGTCGGGAGGGTCCCAGAGGTTTCCAGTAATTTATGCAGCAAGGAGGCGGGGCTGAAAAGGAAGCTGAAGACCTAGCAGAGAAGCAGCTGTGCTTCCCCATGCCCCCACGCTCACAGGTGACCTTCACCTTGGCCACACCTCCCTACAACCAGCTTTCACTCACGGGTCTGAGACTCCCAGTGGGTGTGAGGAGGAATCCACTCGGCAACCTGACTTTCACTAAAAATTCTCATTTTAGCTACAGCAACATACTGAATAAATGTATTTAGTCAATGTAAAAATAGCCATTATGAAAGTGTACTTAGGCACCAATATTTTGATTTTGTTTTATTGCTCACATATGAATTGCAGAGTGGATTTTTACATTTCAAAAAGCTCACTTCGTTACATTGACAACATATATTGCCATGAATAAGACGAACGAGTTCTATTTTCAGAAAGGAAGAGAAGGGCTATTCTGAGGAGGGAAGTTAACGGCTGGTAAAGTGTGGCATTACTGTAAAAGAGAATGGGTTCAGAATTATTAAGGGTGCGTGCGTGTGCGCATGTATATGTGCCTGTGTGTGCGCGCACGTGTCTGACTAACTTCAATGACAACGAACTCTGAGCAAAGACAACACAAGCATAGGAGGAACATTTAAATGTTAACTATTCAATGTCAAGAAAATATGATATTAGCAACTGTCTACAGCAAAAAAGAAAGTGGTAACAGTTTATAAGAATTTTCAGTATCTACAAAAATAGAGCCATACAGTGCCCTTCAACCAACCCCACACTTGCCGCTGCAGGCCCAGCGACAACACAGCGTGCACCCCCTGCAGGGGCTCCTGAGGCACAGGCCACAGGGCAGACCCGCTGCCAGGGAACCCTCGGCAACAAGACCAGCTCACTAACCGAGGGCACACAGAAGTCTGCTGGGATTTCAAAACAAAACAAAACAAAACAAAACAAAACCCCTACAGAACCCAGCTCAACAGTTTACACACAGACCAGGAGGAAGGCGAAAGCATGACCGGAAGTGGCTGTCCTGTCCATGCCACATGCACCGACCACGCCGAGACCTGGGATCCTTGGAGCAGGAGTGCAAACGAGTACTTTGTCAACAATTAAGATCCTTCTTTAAAAATACAGAAGAAAAAAAGAAAATTAAAAAGACACAAATTTGGCTTCTTAAATGGTGACGCATTTTAGCTGATCAAGAGGCAAATACAGTGACAGCTGCTATAGGATCACGACACCCTGGGTGACCGCACTGTTATGCAGAAAACCAGGGCTTCTTCACGGACATGTACCACAGCGGCCAGGACGTCGAGTGTCATTTTAGAGGTTCAGTGACTACTATCTCTTGCAAAGTGCTTTAAGATGCTGTACTTTGGTTCAGATGTTGAAAAAAATTTGAGCATGCTTCTTTACTTTTCCTGTTTCTACTACATGCCCAGATAATCATAAACCAAAGGTGTAGCATGCCGCTCTTCACTGCAATTTTACAAACAAAAGCCAAAACCAAAACTGGTTTTTCAGTCACAATTTTTAATATGTATATTTTTTATGTAAAAAGAAATAAAATAAAAAAAGGTAGAACTATAAACAAGTTATGTTATATAAATGTCCTAGGAGAATGTTGCAAAGACAATTGTTCATTTTGCCGTGTAGTGGACTCACTGAAATGTATGTGGCTTTAAGACGATACCATGGGTCGTTCAGCACGTGAGTAGACTGTGAGTACACATCACCTTGGTGGCTTAAACCGACAGAAGCTTACACTGACAATCCTTAGCACACTTGATTGCTAAAACCATAGGCACCCTTTAACTGTAATATAACAAACCCTAAACACATATGTAATATAACGAACCTTAAACACAAATGCATACAAGCTACAGTTCAAATCCTACAAATTAAAGTCTGTTTTGGTAATTTTCTGACTATGATGATTAAAAACAATGAACAATATAAAAGTGTAAATTAATGTGCTCTTAATAAAAATCAAAATGTGTGCTCTTCACAGATGAACTAGTAACTGTTTTAAATGTCTTTTTTATACTAAATATATATATATATATATATCTCATTTAATTAATTGAGCCACAGCAAAATACTAATATAATTTCAAAGCACAGTCTGTAAACTAATACATCTTATGATGTAAAAAATATTGCACAGTTCGGTATCTGGAGAGCAAGCTCTAAGCCTCTCACGTAGAATGATCAAACTCTCGGCAGAAAATACAGTATTACAAGAACCAGACACTTTAAAGTATGCGACTGATTTTAGGGTCATATTCTAGGCATATTATTCAGCAAACATCACTACCATAAACAAGCGGAGGAACGCCTATCGCACGTATCACGGTAACTGAATGAAGAGACGCCTGTCGCAACATCGGAAACACAGGGACAAAAGCCACAGGGCAGTCAGCAGCCCAGGACTAGCGTATACTCGAATGTTTTTGCTTTTGCAGATAACCAAAACTAAAGCAAAAATCCTACTTAAACAGTTGTGTAGATGTTTAAGAAATACAAGAGACACTTCATACATCTTTCAACCCTTGAAGGCCTAATTTTCAAAAAAAAAAAACATGTTTGAGAAAAGCTTAAAATATACTGTTTAACAATGAAATAATGTTAAGACCAATACATGCTCCACTTTAAAGCCAACAGGAACCTCAAAAGAAATTAATATGGCATAAATCTATCTTCAAAAGTACTTGAAATCACATATAGTTTCAAAATTTCTAGTATGGTATAAGAAGCATTTGGTCAAATGTACGTTCCAACGCTGTTTTCAAGAAGAGTGTTATAGACGTAAAGTGAAGAGCCTGGCCTGCATTCCCAGGCTGTGACATTCTATGCTGAGGTCTTCCTGAGCCACTCAGTACACACAGAGGTCAGGAAACTTCATCTCATAGACAGGGACAGACTGGTACTGGGCATGCCCAGAAGTAATGGTCAGTGTTCCCGACGGGCTGGGCGGAGGACTGGAAGAGAAGAAGGACATTGTCCACAGTGACTTAGATGCGCTTCCCGTCACAGAGCGTCCTAACTGCTATTGCCCCAGCCGGTGAGGAACTGAGGAGAAATGTACCTGGTTCAACATAGCATTCGAGTGCAAGTCTTCCAAAGCACCCGCTGTCCTAGGGACATTCTAAAGGACAACTAGAAAAGCCAGAGACACCTGGACAAGAAATGGGAACAGACTGGCTAGCGAAGACAATGCCTACCAAGACAAGGTACTGTATGACCTCTTGTTTATCCTAAATGAAAAACGTAATTACTTAAACATAATCAGCTACAAGTTTACAGGGGCTAACCGTTCCTATTTTGTTGTTGTTGTATTGCTGTTGTAACAACCCTTACCGTATGGTGAGTTCCAGTATTTGAGTAAGTCTATCATGAAGCAAATTCGCCTATAAAAGAAAAAAAATGTTAAGAATGAATTTACTGTTTTCCAAATACCCATATGTAATAATACAAATGCAATTTAAAAGACAAAGCATAACTGTAACTATGAAGCTGATGGTACAGAATGCTGTAATATTTTGGTTTTGTTTGTCTCATATAATATAAAGTTTCTCTTTTATTCCTTTCCTAGTCTCACTGGTAAAAACAAACCAAAAGACACACAAAATCACCCAGAGCAAAAGCATTGAAAACCACTGCAAAAAAAAGTATCAAAGCCACATCAATCTTTAACATGCAGCTTGGGATCTCTCATTTCCATCAGCTTCTGTGACACTAAGACACTGTTTAGCTTCACAGCTATCTAAGCGTTGAAGTTTCGGTCCCTGTCTGATACATCACCTTGTCTTCTGCTGATTTGTCTAAACATGGAGCCTACCAACCAATTACCAAGAAAGTTTCCCCCAAATCACACTCCACCCCCACCCCTTCAGCATTTAGTCACTCACTTTGGATTCACACTGTGCTGCTATTTCTTCAAAAGGTGCTTTCTGGAATTTCTCTATCACCAGACGCCTCTTCTCCTTTTCCTGCTCTTCCATCCCATTGGTATCTACGTACATGTTACAGAGACCCGTTAAAGCAACACAGAGTTTCAGGGACCCTTCCAATGACCATAAGAGTAAATGATCTCAAAACCAAAAAGAAACAACTTATAACATTACTTTTATAAGGAAAAAAGCAAAAGGTGTAACATGCTTTGAAATGTCTTAGTTAAGACTAGTAAGCAACACTTATGAAAAACGTTTTTAAATCTCAGGGTTCAAACTACACAGGCCCCTTTTCATAGACCAGCTCTGTTGGCCGCCGAAACAGCAGAGCACGACCGCTTCCTTCCCGAAGGAGGAATCTTCTCTCGATAGCCACGCGCTTGCAGACGAGGCGCTGGAGGAACCTGCTCAACTGGCGCCCGAAGGCACAGTACAGAACACTCTGGCTTGGCCTTTCCCATCTATCTCCCACAATCCGGAAAGCGAGTTTTTATCTGAAGATGATGTATGGTCTAGCCAGCTGCGATACAGTCAAGTAACAAATGTCTACCTTGTCACAGATGGTTATTTTCCTTGGTATAGACAGACTTTTCTAGAATTGTGCGAGCATCTTACAGTGCATTCTGATGCCACCCTTATTTGGTGGCCAGCATGCAGGCTGCACGAACTTATGAGAAACAGGATGAAAACTCTGGGAAGTAATGGGAGAAGTAAGCGCAGTGGTTTTTAACAGGCACAGAGAAGTACAATGAGAAGTGAGTTTGCCATGGGTGAGGGTGTCAGCAGGCACGACAGTGTCACGTTAATCCCTGCTATGTCACCAATGAAAACACCAGGCAGGAAGTTAACCTTCTCCCGAGATCACACAGCTAGAAACGCTGCAGCCAAATTTCACACCAGGCTGGACTGACTCTGTGGTCTTCACTAATCTTGGTATAAAGTATTACTCTCATTTTTTACAACTGTAAAAACCTATACAACGTAACTAAAGAAATCAATTACACATTTATATAGAAATCAGCATATAAACATGTACTAAGATAAAGATAAACTAGCAAAATACTGGGGGAGTTAATGAGAAAAAAAATCTCACCAATTGCTTTCTTTAATGCTTCAAAGGTAATTTCTTCAGTGTTACTAACCTGGAGAAAAGGGATTTTAAGTAAAATAGTTAAGAAAGGTCGATATAAATAATACTTTCATGCAGTTACAAGTCATAGAAGAGCTTTTACAAGATTTTTTCTTCTCTGTGTTGGCGTGATTTGTAATTATACTCCACAAATGTGACAATGGTGTACTTTAGGGGTTCCCAAACAAATCCACAGATCACGGGGCTGGCCGGATGCGCATCCTGGGCCCCCAAGCAGCGCTGAGCAGAACCAAGCTGCAGTGGGGGAAGTGCGACGAGGTCAGAAGCCCCGCCTGCATGGAACGGCTTCATAGGCACAGTGCCTGCAAGCACCCCAGGCAGAGGTTACGCGCTAACTGTCTCAGCCACGTAACCAGTGAGAAATGAGTTCTCTAGAGTCTCTATAAGTTTCGGCACTTCATACTGTTTACAAAGCGAAAATAAAATAATCTAAAACTGTAAATAGTTTAAAAGCAAGCATCCCTACTTTGGGAAGTGTTCAGTGAGAACAGTTCACCGACAGCTTAAATGACCACGTTCTGGATCTCCCAAGGCCCACCACCAAATCTGATGCTCCAGAAACCCCTCTGACTGGGGCTCCCCATCTCCCTAGCGCTCGGAGATGTGCGAAAAGTGCTTTTTGATGAAAGTCAGTAACACTTGGTGGTGCCAGCACGTTTCAGGAAGGATTGTTTTCAGGAGGGATAGGAGATCCAGGACTACGTTATCTCTGAATGAAAATGAAGAAATGGGATGTGAGTACTTGCCTGGGCTCTGGTCATCCCTAAGTTTAGCTCATGAGCTTCCTTTGCTAAGTCTAAGGCAGCAGACTAAGGAGAGCGGAAGCCCGCGCTCTGCGCCTGCGCGGCTGCAATGCAAAGGCCTGAGCGGAAGCCAAGCGGCACAGCCCACGGCCTCGGCTTCCTACTGAGGCCGGGGTTGTCGCTGAAGTCACATTAACCGTGGGGTCTCCGGTGGCTCCGTTCTAGATGTCTGGAGCAGATGTGTAAGATGAGGCTCTGGCTGGCCAAGTGTTTGTATCTAGAAGCAATCTAGTACCTCAATGAGAGAAACAAAACGGTGGTTCTTGTAACTGGTGAAGAGGATCGGACTTCTGACCGAGCACCACAGCCCAGGAGAAAGAACGCCGGGGACTTGCACTTACTGCCTGTTCCATCTGGACAGGTGAGAAGCCAGCGTGCTTTACTTAACAGATCCTCTTCCCAGTTGGTTACTGTCCTTAATTCAGGTCACGATGACCGTCTCTCAGCATCTAGACCAAGTCGTCCTGCCCCTGTCCCTTTTGGTAAACTCCTTTCTCTAACTGGCTCTCAGTTAACTTGCTCTGCCTTCAGAACAGGGTCCTGCTGCCCCTGACCCTCCTCTTCATCCCCGGCCTGGCCGCTCCAGGTCCTCAGAGCTCCGTCCAGGCGACTGCAAGGCTCTCCCCCTCCAGTCACGCTTCTCAGTGACTGTGAGGTACAGCTCTGAAACGACTACCTGAATTTCAGTGTTTCCCTGCTTCCTACCCAACTACATGCAACGTCCTTAGGCTGGTAATAAAAACCTTCTATAATTTGCCTTCAATCTTGTTTCCCCAGATTCCCCTTTATGAACCCTATTTTTAAAAAATTGCTTATAATAGTGTTTAATGATTCATATGTTTCATACAATGGAGCTGCTAAAAACAAGCCAGCTACTCCATTTGGTGCTCAGCTAAACTAGAATCTGCCCCAACTCTACCTGGCGTGCTGGAGTCACGGCAAAACAGGGCAAAGGCACTATCCCCGAAGAGTTTCCAGTTCCTCTTATGTATGGCTTTTGCCTCATGTGTGATTTATAGCTCTGACCTAGACTGTACAACACCCTTGGGCCTGCATAAAATCTGCGATTCATCTTTTTTCAATCAGTTCTAGGTCACTTCCACGGGCACTTCAGTAATTGTGTGGCACCCGGCACAGCAGGCCCTGACCACTGTTGCTGACCTTAGGATCATTGTTTGTTAGCACACATGCAGGAATCTTCAGTTATAATTGGGAAAAAAAGCAAGAGTATACATGTACCAGTATAAAATAGATCTGTTATTTGTCCTAGAATACACAATAATCCTGTTCAGCCAACTGTTGCTTAATTTTGTACAAAGAAAAAGTGAGTATACATACCCTCTCATCCATTCCCCCAAATCATTAAGCACTGACTACCACACCTCTTAGAGAAGAATGAGTGGTGATTCGAATCTCACATCCATTATGCACTGAAATCATGCCTACAGTGCTCAGAGAGAACACTAGAGGTCAAAGGTCATGTCTACAGTGCTCAGAGAACACTAGAGGTCAAAGGTCATGCCTATAGTGCTCAGAGAGAGCACTAGAGGTCAAAAGTCATGCCTATAGCACTTGAATCTATTACTCAACTGGTAATTTTATCTCAGGAGGCAGGCACGCCTCCATTACATTTTAGGCACTTATCGTTTTGAAATAAAGATTTTTAGGAAAAGTTAACATGTATATACTGATAAATAAGGCAATTGTTAGAAAAGCGAGTCACAGTAAGCTAAGGTTTGAATGGCAAACCTTGGAACTGACATACCTCAAGTGGACCAGATATCTCAACAGACTATAGTGACAATGTGAGTTGTATCTAGAGAAGACTCAAGCTTGCTATGGTCTCCACCTAAACAATCTTCTGACTTTGTTTTTAACTTATAAACCTAAGAGCAGATATTAGTTAGATCTGAAGACTGAGATTATGTATGTAAAATTTCAAATAATTTTGATTAAATATTAGAGTGCTGTTTTTAAATGAGCAATTTTCTTAACTGATCCACTATTAGCTAATGTACTTGTTCATGATTTGATATTTTGCTACACCATTAACTGGTGAATATCTAACTGACCCAAATCTCTCCTACCCTTACCATGTAATTAGTTCTAGCCTAGAAGGTAATTTCTTTTGTCTCCTGGTATTTGAACAGTCATTCCTAATATGCAAATCAGATTCCATAACGGTCAATGGGTTTGAAACTCCAACCAGCTCAAGGACATCTTTTAGTAAACAGTTTACTTAACTTATCAAATGCTTAGTGGGAGACATGTTTAACTTTGGACTTACAATAAAGAAGGCTCTTTAACAAGTTAAGAAATATATTAATGGATTAATGTAAAGTTCGTGTTCAAGAATCTTCCCCCGACCTTTATGCAAATGTCTTTTCAGTTCATTTTCTCAAAAAAGGACTGTATGTAACAGTTTGAAGGGCTTTATATATATCTTTAAAAGGAAGAAATACAGTTAACAAAAGGAAAATGGAGTAATACCAGTCAATAAAATAAGTTATACTCTTGACAAAATAAAGTGTATAAACTAAGGCTTAAGATGATTTTCTTCCCTCAAAATGTAACAGCACCAAATTCAAAATCATTACAAGACAGAGGAGCAAGATACCCTCCTCACCAGCAAGGAGAACAGAAATTAAAATGGCTCAGAAGAGGTGAGTTTGGGAAGATGATTTTTCTGGAGCCCTGGAGCCTTAAATTGGCAAGAAACTTTCAACCAATCTCAGAGCCCCACGTTCCACAAGGAGCAGTAACTGCCTCGTGATGCCCTGCAGACAATTTCTTAATGAAATGGGTTAGTTCTCCCCCAATTCAAACTGTTTGAATTCTTGAGGACAAATTAACTGGCGGGGACCGAGGGGGGACGAGAGAGGAGGCTGAGAAAGCATGAATTCAGACAACTTCCTTCCCCTTTTCTTAGATGGATATTCTTTTAATGATTTATACTGTACAAATAAGACACAATGGATAAACCAAGGAGGAAGCTGACTTGGCATGCTGGCATTGCGGCACTGTTACTCGACTATCAAAAAGTCTCTGGTGACCGTGTGGTAAGTCCAGAGAGTGCGGCTGCGCTTCTTCCTACCACTCGGGAGGTTACACTCTCGTGCGCTAGTGAGACAGGAGGAGAGCGTTACATCTCTGAGGGGTCAGGTGAGGCCCAGCCCTTAAGACACAGGTCAGCGAGACAGCCTCACCAACGCTATGCTCATTACACTTACTATCTAAAGTGATAAAAAAATGTCCCTCACAGAAGAAGTTTTGAAAGTTTTAAAGTTGTGAGCATCTGAAGTATCTATTTCCATTTATTCTCATAATTTGTGTTTCACAAATCTTTAAAAACAGGACCTAAAGGCCTCCTAATTTAATGATAGGTCTTAAGTGACATTTCTTTCTTATAAAAAAAATCTTACTTGGTTCTGTTTTCAGTTCCTGTTATTACACTAAGTTACACTGTAAAACCTAATATCACACATGTTACATTATATATCTTTATAAATAGCCAAAATGAGTTTAGTAAAATAAATTACAAGTTCGTTCCAGGCTGAATCAGATTCGTTTCTACTACAATAAAAACTGCTGGCCGAAACCGGTTTGGCTCAGTGGATAGAGTGTCGGCCTGCAGACTCAAGGGTCCCAGGTTCGATTCCGGTCAAGGGCATGTACCTGGGTTGTGGGCACGTACCTGGGTTGCGGGCACATCCCCAGTGGGAGATGTGCAGGAGGCAGCTGATCGATGTTTCTCTCTCATCGATGTTTCTAACTCTCTATCTCTCTCCCTTCCTCTCTGTAAAAAATCAATAAAATATATTTTAAAAAAAAACAAAACAAAAAAAACTGCTGATTTGGGGGTAATTAGAGTTACATTTGCTCCTATTTGAAAGCATGGAGGGCAAAAAATTCTTTTAAATTGATGTCTATCCCAAGACAGCACTGAGCACAAACTGTCAGCAACTCACCACGTCGTCCGAAGGGAGGCTGCCGGGTAGAATGTCCACCTGAATGGACACGGTATCCACGATACTTTTTCTTCTAGAAAGTCGATCTTCATCTAAAAAAAAAAGCCCCCTGTTATATGCCAGCAAGAAATGGTGTGTCATTTATAAACAACATGCTTCAGGTTTCAAAACACTTCAGACAATTAAGACTGTTTTTTTTTTGCTTTTTCTAAATATAAAGGCATCTGTTCTCAGACCCACACATTTTGTGACGCAACCACTTTATAGCCTGGGCCATTCTAGCTTCCTAGTCCCACTTTGGTTATCCGTGGTTTTATTCCCGAGGGGGAAGAGTGACGGACTAGAGGAGGCGAGGATAATGAACCAGTTACTCTCTTACTGACCACCCTTCCCTCGGGTTGCCTTCCAAGGTAGTGATTGATGTCACTAATTGAATTTGGTAGTTGACTCTTTTTCTGGGCACACAGTAGGATTGCAATTATATGGAAGATACGCAGTTAGAATCTGAGCACCACGGAAGTTTTTTCCTGTTTCAAACCAGTAAGGAGCTGCGATTGTGCCATCACAGCCTAACTTGGGCAGCGTTCTTCACTGTGGCACTGCTGGCATTTTAGGCCAGGTAACCTGTAGGACCTATCAGTGCACTGCAGGATGGTCAGCAGCACATGGTGATAACTAAACATGCCTCTGGATTGGTAAGTGTCCCCTGGGATGGGGAAAATCACTCACTGAGAACCACCGACCCAGTCCATTCGACTGAGAACAGACCTTTGTACAGTTGTCCCTATGTGCCTCCATCACGATACAAGCTGTTTAAAGCACTGACCACATTGCTCTCCAAGCAATTCTACTCCTCCCCTGATGAATTAAAAAGGCGCTCTGGGCCTCTCGTCAGATCTTACATAGTAACTTCCACTGCTCCTGACTGATCTAGCGTTCAAGTCCGAGTGCCTTTCCTACACCCTGAGTCTTGTTAGCTCACCTGCCTTCCATACCTTCCTACAGACAGAGACCTCTCCTGGAACTCTTCATTCCCTGCCCTGGACCGCCCCCCCCCCCCCAAAGATTCGTATCTTTCAGGTCTAATCACATATATCACTTCCTTAAAAACCTTAACTATCACATACCCCTCTTACTTCTAGCTACGAAAATTTACTCTCAGTTAGGACTGGTCTTCCCTTCAGTCACTGTCACCTTCCACCCCCACTGGGCCTTTTACTGCAGACACGGAGTTAGTGTCTCATCTCCCCCCCATTCCAAAAATGCAATGACCGACGGATTTGGGTTTGTCACACAGAAGTCACTCGGTTCTGCTCTATGAAGGCCGAGGGATGGAACCAGCACCTGCTCCACATGACAACTGCTCCTGCACCGAGTTCTGAGAGTTTTCAGGTCACTGTTTTACTGCCGGCTAGTAGCGAGCTCACCTAAGACACTGCATTCTTTCTATTTCTCCTCCATGATCATGTGCTTTGATTAAATTAGCAAATATAATGGAACCACTACAAAATAGTATGTGATTATCATGCCAACTTGCTTGTACCCTCCAAGCAGGCCAATGTCCAAGGTCTCACTAGAACGCAAACTGAGCGACACACAGCCTACTTCACCAAGAGCACGAGAAGAATGCCTCGCTTGACATACGATGGCTGGGGGTTGCAGAGAGAGTCAAACTGAAACCTAAGAC